TCTTTTGGATCACATATATGACCAATACTTGAAACGATATATTTGGGATTTAATATTTTGATCTCAGACACTCTAATCTGACTCACTGACCAATGGGTGATTTCATTCATTACTTGACACCCTACTCTTATCTCTTGCCCTACCGTTCCTCATAATTGCAGTACTCCATTGACGTCTTTCCATTCAGTTTTTGTATACACCTCTGTTCCCCGCATCACTACAGTAGCTAAAGTTAAGGCTGAGTTAGTATCCGTTATAATCATGCTTTCAGTATACCCAATGTACGCCTGGGACCATGGCCATTAAGCGAACCTTTGACCGATATCTGGGGCCTTGCACCATCAATCTAAGATTGTTTAGACTACCCTTCTCACCGGAGATTCTTGGATTGTGTGGGAGACAGCTTCCTGATGGAACTGGTGAGAGAACTGACCAGAGAAGGTGCCCTGCTGGATCTCCTCTTTGTGAACAGAGAAGGACTGGTGGAGGATGTGGTGGTTGGAGTATGACTAGGGCATATGATCATGAAATAATAGAGTTCTCTATTCTTAGAGAGGCCAGGAGAGGGCTAAGCAGAACTTATATCCTGGACTTCCAAAGGGCTGACTTTGTCTTGTTTAGGCACCTACTTGAAAAGATCCCTTGGGAGATGATCCTCAAGGGTATAGGTGTCCAGGAAGGCTGGGCACTCTTTAAGAAGGAAGTTTTAAAGACTCAGGAGCAGGCGGTCCCCAGAGAGGACTGAGAGTTCAGAGTCTAAGAGAAGCCAGAAGCAGAAAAGACCACCCTGTCTGAACAGGGAGCTTTGGCTGGAACTCAGGGTGAAAAGGTGAGTTTACTGCTTTTGGAAGAAGGGGCTAGCCACTCACAAGGATTACAAAGAGGTTGTGAGGATATGCAGGGTGGAAATCAGGAGGTCTAAAGCCCAGCTGGAAATTAATTTGACTTCAGCAATCAAGGACAACAAGAAATGTTTCTATAAGTATGTCAGTGGCAAACGAAAGACCAGGGAGAGTCTCCATCCCCTGCTAGATGCAGGAGGAAACATGGTAACAAGTGATGAGGAGAAGGCTGAGGTGCTTAATGCCTTCTTTGCCTCAGTCTTAATAAGAAGACTAGTTGTACTAAGGGAATCCAGCCTCCTCAGCCAGTAGACAGAGACTGGCAGAATGACCCCCTGCAATCCATTAGGAGACAGTCAGTGACCTACTGCATCACATAGACATACACAAGTCTATGGGACAGGATGGGATACACCTGAGGGTGCTGGAGGAGCTGGCTGGGGTGCTCACCAAGCCACTTTCCATCATTTACCAGGAGTCCTGGCTGACCGGGAAGGTCCTGACAGACTGGAAATTGGCCAATGTGACGCCCATATATAAGAAGGGCCAGAAGGATGATCCAGGAAATTACAGGCCTGTCAGCTGCACTTCAGTACTCGGGAAGCTGATGGAGTAGATCATCCTGAGTACCATCATACAACACATGTGGGACAAACAGATGATCAGGCCCAGTCAGCATGGGTTTATGAAAGGCAGGTCCTGCTTGACAAACCTGATCTCCTTCTACAACAGGGAGACCTGCTTATTAGATGAGGGAAAGGCTGTGGATGTAGTTTACCTTGACTTCAGTAAGGTCTTTGACACCATTTCCCAAAGCATTCTCCTGGTGAAACTGGCTGCTTGAGGTTTGGACAATCACACGCTTTTCTGGGTAAAAAACTGTCTGGATGGCCGGGCCCAAAGAGTTGTGGTGAACAGAGTTAAATCCAGTTGGCAGCCAGTCACGAGTAGTGTCTCCCAGGGCTCAGTTTTGGGGCTTATTTAACATCTTTATTGATCTAGACCAGGGGATCAAATGCACCCTCAGTAAGTTTGCAGACGACACCAAGTTGGGTGGGAGTGTTGATCTGCTCGAGGGTAGGGAGGCTCTGCAGAGAGACCTGGACAGGCTGGAGAGATGGGCTAAGGCCAACTGCATGAATTTCAATAAGGCCAAATGCCGGGGGCTGCACTTGGGCCACAACAGCCCCCAGCAGTGCTACAGGCTTGGGGACGAGTGGCTGGAGAGCTGCCAGTCAGGGAGGGACCTGGGCGTGTTGATTGACAGCTGGCTGAACAGGAGCCAGCAGTGTGCCCAGGTGGCCAAGAAGGCCAATGGCATCCTGGCTTGTGTCAGCAATAGCGTGGCCAACAGGGACAGGGAAGGGACCTTACCCCTGTACTCGGCACTGCTGAGGCCGCACCTTGAATACTGTGTTCAGTTTTGGGCCCCTCACTACAAAAAGGACATTGAATGACTCGAGCGTGTCCAGAGAAGGGCAACGAAGCTGGTGCAGGGTCTGGAGCACATGTCGTATGAGGAGTGGCTGAGGGAACTGGAGTTGTTGAGTCTGGAGAAGAGGAGGCTGAGGGGAGAGCTCATCGCCCTCTACAGCTACCTGAAAGGAGGTTGCAGAGAGCTGGGTCTCTTTAACCAAGTAGCAAGTGATAAGACAAGAGAGAATAGCCTCAAGTTGCGCCAGGGAAGGTTTAGACTAGTGTCCCGATCTGATATCGGGGAGGGTTCTTAAATGATTCCAAGAGCAAGATTAAGACACAAACGAGGTCAGATGTTGCATAACCTTATAAATTTTATTTTTTATAACAACTGACAAGAGCAATAGGACAGAGAGGAAAAGAAAGGAACAGGTCAGAATCCCTAAGGAAGAACACGGTAGAGGCACAACTAATTACCACTACCATGACCAGGGATCCGGTGATGTTCTGTCGGCTTGATGATGCTCCATGTTCCTGTCTCCGAGTTAGTCTCCAACAAACAGCATCCTTCAGCAAGCTTCTCCCAAAAAGCTTCCCCCAGTGGAGTACGCAGTCTGTCCTTTTATAGTCCTCGTCCTTATGATTTGTCTGCCCATTTCCACAGGGGTCTTTGTTGTAGGTGCCACCCCATGGTCCTCCGTACGCACATGCCCAGGTATCCATGGTGGTTGTGCTGGCAACGGCCCAATCTGTGGTGCGTTCAGCCTCTGCTGTCTTACTCACCATGATTTCCTCTCCACCTGGCTCGCATGCAGGTGCAGCTTGATGGGCGCTGCCAAGGCTGCTGTTGTTTTTGCCTTGGGCGGATGTCGTGGTTTCCTTGAGGACTATTCATCTCCTTCAAGACATACTCCTCCACAACAATAGGATGCTAAGCCAGGAAGTGGTGGTCTAACAACAGCAATGCTGAGACAGACAAAGAAGGTCCAAAAAGTCCCTTACAAATAGAGGTCAGGAAGTATTTCTTTATAGAAGGGGTTTTTAGGCATTGTAATGGGCTGCCCAGGAAGGTGGTGGAGTCCCCATCCCTGGAGACGTTCAAGAGTCGGGTTGACGTAGCACTGAGTGATATGGTGTAGTTGGGAACTGTCAGTGGTAAATTAATGGTTGGACTAGATAATCTTCAAGGTCCTTTCCAACCTAGTTGGTTCTGTGATTCCTTCCGTTCCATCTCCCATTGGGAGATGTCTCTGAGATGACTCTCAGTAGTCATGACAGAATACTCAGTCATGAGATTGGGTAGAGGATATGTAATCTTCATTGACATTTTTAGGTTCCCACAGCACCTAACCATGGGCTGGCACTGGTGCTGCTCCCAACCTACACCCTCAGAGGTTCTTCACATGCCACAACACCACATTAACAGCAAATAACAGGTTGCTGTATAGGAAGGATAGGGAAGGAGGAAGAGGGGAGAGTTTCATGCTATATGTAAAGGAGCTCTGTGTCTTCATCACTCCAGTTTGAAACTGAAGGCATGTCTACTTAGGATGTCTGGGTCGATATTAGAGGGGGACGTAATACAAAAATGTGGTTGGGATCTGTTACAGACCACCTAGGAGAAAGTGGACAAGCAACTAACCGAACTGTGCTAATCCTCTTTGTTCTCATGGGGGATTTAGCCATCCAAACATCTGTCAGGATGACAACACTTTGCACAAGCAATCCAAGAAGTTCCTAATCTCTGTTAGTGGCACTTCCCTAATGGAAATGATAGAGGGACAAAGAATGGGTCATCCTCTGCCTGATTTGCTACTCACAAACAGGGGAGAGTTGGTGGCAAAAGTAGTCATAAAAGGCAACTTGGATTGTCATGAGAAGACATTTGAATTTCAGTTTCAGAGGAAGGCAAGCAGTAGAATTAGGACTTCAGAAGAGCAGACTCTGGGTTCCTTAGGAAACTATTAGGCAAAGTCCTTCCTTTAGGAAGCTGTCCTAAAAGGAAGAGTGCTCAGATCAGATTGATTGAACTTACTGAAAGCTCAAGAAGAAACAACTGTTTTATGCAGGAGGACTGGGAATTTTGACAGAAGATCAGCTTGTCTGAGTTAAGAACTTCTTAACTAAAATGTAAAAAAGACAATATTCATGTAGAAACGTGGAGAGCCAACTAAGGAAGATCACAAAAGCATTCAGGGACAAAATCAAAAAAGCCAACTGAACAAGAAATGATTAAAGAAGATTCTACAAATACACTAATAATGAAAGGTGGTTCAGAGAAAACTGATCTGGTTTTGAATGTGAAGACAACTTTATGATAGACAACATAAAAACCACTGAAGTACCCAATGCCATTTTTTCCAAAGACTTCACAAGCAACCTTGCTCTTTATTTCTACATGTATTACCAATGTTTGTGAGGAGTGTGACAGCTAACAGTTGGGAAATAACAGATCTTCTGTTGAAGTTAAATATATTTGGACCAGGTAGGATGCAGTTGAGGGTCCTGATGAAGCAAGCTGATGCCTCTGTGGCTGTCTATCATTGAATAAAAATCAGGGAAATTACAGGAGGTCCCTGATAAATAGAAACAAGCAATTGCTATATCCATCTTTAGGAAAAATGAAAAAGGAGGATGTGGGGCCAGTTAGTCTCATCTCAGTTTCTAGACAGATTATGGAGCATGTCTTCTTATAATTAATTCATTTCTACACATGTGAAAGACAAGAAGGTAATAGTCAACACAGATATGCTAAGGGAAAATCATGCCTGACAACTTGATTGCTGTCACTGATGAAACAGCTGAACAGAAAACAACAGTCATATGTCTTGACTTTACCACAGTTGTTGGCACCATCTTTCACAGCATTCTCATTTGGAAGTATAGCCTAGATGAGCAGACTGTCAGATGGGATAAAAATGGGTTTTAGCACCTGGTTCAAAGGTTAATAACCAATACAGCAATATGTGATTAGCAGCTGGCACTAAACGGAGTCAGGAGTCAGTGCTGGGTCAAATACTGTTATCATCATCAGTGGTATAGATAATGAGATAGAATGCTCTCTTAGTAAATTTGTGGATGGTACTGAATTATGGGAGCATTGCTGACACATGCAAATGGCAGAGTTTCAGTCCAGACAGACCTTGATAAACTTGGGGATTAGGTCAGCTGCAACATTGTGAAATTCATCAAAGAGTACATGAGGATGGTCTAAGATATTGAGGAAGTAATTATTCCATTCTGCCTGACTGTGGTGGGACTACCAATGGCATGCTGGTCCAATGTTGGGCCACCAGTTCAAACAGAACATTTAAGATGCTGGAGTATGTCCAACAGGGGACTATCGATATTTAGGTGCATAGAGAACATGACTTACAAAGAGAGGAAGAGAGAACTGGGCTCATTCAGTGTAGGAAAGAGAGGGCAAAGTGAAAATGTAATAACAACCTACTTAAAAGTTAATTACAAAGGTAACAGAGTCAAACACTTTTTGGTAGTGGAAAGTATAATAAGATGGTTTAGCATCACCTGCAATTCACTGTTTAGAGAGTTGAAATTGAATGTTAAGGAAAACTGTTGTACCGAAAGGGTAAGAACTGGATCAGGTGGGTCAAGAGTTTGTAGAATCTCCATCCATTACTCAGCTAGACAAAATCACAGCTGACCTGGTCTAGTATTGGGCATATTCCTGGTTTGAATGGGAGATTGGATTAAGTGATCTCCATCAGTCCCTTCCAATCAAATTCTCAAAAGTTCTGTGATACTCAGTGACTGTTTACAGTATAGACTATGCTATTGACTTGATTCACATATCTGGTTACATAATGGTAGACAATATTTTATGTATCTGATGCGAAAGATAGTTACACCCAGCAATTTCAAAGCTTATTCTGGTGAATAATAAAGCTAAAGAAATAGCAAGATTTCTATTAATAGTTAAAAATTACAAACTGGTATTTGCATGAATTCAAGTCAGTGTCTTATTCTCAGCTGGGGTTCTCTTTCACTTAAGTAATATAGCTCATTTTCTTCCATCAACTTGCAGAAAATTTTTTCAACTGATAGTTGTAAATGAATAGATTACATTTGTTGTTTGATAATTAAAACTTGCAATAACTTACTCTGGTGGTTTAGGCCCTGCCAGGACTTGAGACCACGTTGATGTTGCTGCTTCCCCAACCTCACACCATATGGGACAGGGAGTGAAATACAAGCCCTGGGGTGGAGATAAGGAAAAATCTAATATAACAGTGTAACAACAACAAACCAAACTATAACAGTAATAACAATGAACAGAAAAAGAGATATACCGCACGGATACAAAAGCGAGCGTACCGACCCAGACAAAAGCTCTCCCAATTCTCTTTCCGCACTTGGGCATCCAGACCTGACTTCCGTAGGGTATCAAATAGCCTGGCTAGAGCTCCCTTTGCTCTGCTGGACAAATTTAACCCTATCCTAGATGAACCAGGACATAATCCATCCTTTTATTCTATACCATCTGCATCATGTCCAGCTGCCATTTAGCAGTTAACAATAACAGAACAACAATTAACAAAGGCACAGCATAATTCATGGCGTGTACACACCCAGAATCAAGTCCCCTTGTGGTACACATCAGAACTCTCCATCTTCCTGCATCACCCATCAGGTGCACCCAGGTCCCTGAACAAAAGCAGTCACATGGATGGGTTTCCCTTTGCCTGGCACAGGACTAACCCAGACCATTTTTCCCAGTACAGTCCTTATGCACACCACAGAGACTTTATCCCCATTTACAGCACGTAGAGGTTTTGACTGGGCTGGGCCAGCTTGATTGGCATATCCTCTTGTGTTGACTAGCCAGGTGTCCTTTGCCAGATGCGTGTTCCAGTGTTTGAAGGTTCCAGCTCCCAATGCTTTCAATGTAGTTTTTAACAGTCCATTGTAGCGCTTGATTTTTCTAGAGGCTGGTGCGTGGTAGGGGATAAGGTAGACCCACTCGATGCCATGTTCTCCTGCCCAGGCATTTATGAGGTTGTTTTGGAAGTGGGTCCCATTATCTGACTCAATTCTCTCTGGGGTGCCGTGTCATCACAGGATTTGGGTTTCAAGACCCAGGATGGTGTTCCGGGCGGTGGCGTGGGGTGCTGGATAAGTTTCCAGCCATCCAGTGGTTACTTCCACCATTGTGAGCACGTGGCACTTGCTGTGGCAGGTCTAGAGCAGAGTGATGTATTCGATCCGCCAGGCCTCTCCATATCTATATTTCAACCATCACTCTCCATTTCGCTGGGGCTTCACCTGCTTGGCATGTTTGATTGCAGCACACGTCTCACGTCCATGGATGATCTCTGCAATGGTGTCAATGGTGAGGTCCACCCCTCGATCTCGAACCCATCATATGTTGCATTTCTACCATGGTGGCCTGAGGTCTCATGGGCCCACTGGGCTATGAACAGTTCACCTTTGCGCTGCTAGTCCAAGTCCACCTGAGCAACTCTAATTTTAGCAGCTTGGTCTGCCTGTTGGTTGTGTCAATGTTCATCAGTGGCCCAACTCTTGGGTACATGGCGCACCTTCACAATGAGGTTTTCCACAAGGGCTGCAATATCCTGCCACACTTCAGCGGCCCACATGGCCCTTACGTTGCCAGTTGCTTTGTTTCCATTGCGACAACCACTTCCACAGGGTATATATGTCACCGCACATGAGTCGGTGTTGAGATAGAGCCTCGGCCACTTTTCTCACTCAGCAATACCCAAAGCAAGTTGGGTCAGTTTCACATCTGCGAACTGGCTTGATTCACCGTGTCTCACAGCAGCTTCAGTGACCCATCGTGTGGGACTCCATACAGCAGCCTTCCATCATCAATGTTTTCCCACAATGCGACAAGACCCATCAGTGAACAGGGCATATCGCTTCTCCTCATCCAGCAGCTCGTTATATGGTGGGGCCTCCTTAGCACGTGTCACGTCCTGTTCTGGTGACATCCCGGAATCTTTGCTCTCTGGCCAGTTTGCGGTCACCTCTAATATCCCTGGGTGGCTGGGATTCCCTTTTCAGCCCATTGTGTTACCAAAGCAAGCCATTTACTCTACGTGGCATCTGTTGCATGATGTGTGGAGGAAGACTTTCCTTTGAACATCCACCAGTAGTTGAGTTGCCAGGAGGAGCTGTGTTTCAGTACCGACCGCTTCTGAGGCAGCCCAAACTCCTTCTTACGCTGCCAGTATCTCCTTCTCAGTTGGTGTATAATTAGCTTCAGAGCCTTTGTATCCCTGGCTCCAAAAGCCTAGAGGTCAGCCTCGGGTCTCCCCAGGTGCTCTCTGCCAGAGTTTCCAGGTAGGGCCATTCTCCCCAGCTGTGGTGTAGAGCATGTTCTTAACCTCCTGCCCTTCCCGGACTGGCCCGAGGTCTACTGCTTGGGCAATCTCTCATTTAATCTGTTCAAATGATTGTTGTTGCTCATAGCCCCATTCAAAATCGTTCCTCTTACAGGTTGAGTGGTAGAGAGGACTCACAATCAGGCTGTATTTCAGGATGTGCATCCTCCAAAACCCCACAGCGCCAAGGAAAGACTGAGTCTCCTTTTTAGAGGTTGGTGGGGCCATGGCTGTTATCTTGTTTATCACCTCCATTGGGATGTGGCGATGCCCATCTTGCCATTTTATTCCTAGGAACTGAATTTCCCTTGCAAGCCCCTTAACTTTCTTTTGCTTAATGGCAAAACCAGCCTTCAGGATGATTTCAATTATCTTCTCTTTTTCAAAGACTTCCTCACCTGTGTCGCCCCATACAATATCATCAATGAACTACTGGTATTTTGGAGTGAAATTCCAAAGCACTGGGGGTCATCACTGACCCAGGAACTCACCCATATTTTCCCACAGACCTTGTCACTCAATATTATCTGACCTCAGGGCAGGTTTCTGGGTGGTGTTGTTCGAAAAATATCGCATCACTCAGAAGAAGACCTGGCAGACACTCAGAAACATTCTGCCGCAAACATACTGGCCTGGATGCTGCAAGGATAGCTAATACTCTCAAAAACTGAGAAGATCTCTTCTCCTGGCTCACCCATAAAGAGGGTGAGACCCCTAACAAAAGCCCGGGCAGCAAACAGGTATTGGTTCATCCCCACAAACAGCCATATGAGTACATTATTAGCACTCAGTAGCCAGTATAGCGAAAGAAGACCCTTGATACATTTTCCACCAACAAACATCACCAGTGGGAATACACAGTGGATATAAGGATTAATCCAGCCCCACCACGCAAGCAAGTGGGCCAGCATTGCAAATATTTCTTATCAAACAATACAAATAAAACCAGAAAAATTGCACCTCATATATTGCTCTAACACACTCTGGTCAGGGTTTCTTTTTTTTTTTTTTTTTCTTATATCAACCCTCTCAAGCCCCATGTTGGGCACCAAAATGGCTGTGGTGGTTTAGGCCCTGCTGTGACCAGAGACCACGCCACCATTGTCCCACCCCCAACCTTGGACTGGACAGGGCAGTGAGTGAGATACAAACCCTGGGGTTGATATAAGGAAAAATTTAATACAACAGTGTGACATTTAATAAACTGAACAACAACAATAGCTATAACAATAAACAGTAATAACAATGAACAGGACAAGAGATATATCACATGGAATACAGCAGTGAGGGTACTGATCTGGACAAAAGCTGTCTGTGCTCTTCCCAAGCTTGGGAGCCTGGACCTGACATCAGCATGGTATCAAATAACCTAGCTGGAGCTCCCTCCCCACTGCTGAGGAATCTTAACCCTATCCTAGCTGAACCAGGACACTTACTTGCAAAGGAAAACCTTTAATTATTTATTTGTTCAGTGAAGTTCTATTCAAAAGCCACATCATGTCCAGTGTTTTTCATTAAAGTACTTAAGGACATGCTTGACCTTTAGTACTTTCCTAAATTCTTATAGATTATATAATCAAGGTGAAAGTTCTTTCTGAGTGCCTGCAGAGATATTATAAATAATATATTTATTATACAGGAGGCTGAAAGAAGAATATACTTGGCTTCTCCAGAAAGACTGTAAAACAATTTTTTTTATCTGACTTGGAAAAAATTTTATGGTCCAGTGAATTTTGACTGAGAAAATAAAATGATGATGTGCAAAGAAGATTTTTTTTTTTTTAGTTAAATCATATGCTTTATGTGAATTGCTCTAAATTAAAATGAAAGTCTAAGTTGCAGATCTCTTCTGCTCTGAAAAATGCTGAGAACATTTCCTGAAATGTTCTCTGAATGTGGCCCTGTGTGGCAAAGATAAACCACCAACAGATATCAGAGGTCATGATGCAGGATAAGTAGAGCGTGGCCTCCGCTCTACCAGGTAATCCCTGGATGCATATTCAGCTATCTGAGGATCTCCTTGTACTCCCTCTAGTGTGCACTTACTATCTGCTTTCTAAGTGTGGGCACTCTGAAATGGGAATTTTAATATTTCTTAGGAGTATATGTTTCTGGAAGCAGTGATTATGATCTCAGTAATTTGCAGTGAGATATCTGGTGGTCTAAATCAGGCATACCTCAGACTGCCAATACAAAATCACCGCTTTCTTGCCTTCCCAGCACTTCAGTGTGACTCCATGCCCCCCTGTGAACCCTAGCTTTGGAGAACAGAGGCTGAAAAAGAACATAGTGCAGGTTCTTAATATTTTTCTCTCATTTCTGCTTATCTTCTTGCTCTTATTTCCATGCAGGTCTTATCCTACAAACAAGAAGGTGGAAAGGAGTATGAAGTCGAAATCTGTAATGTGCTTCAAATACAATTATGATTTGTTGTTCATTAAATTCTAACACCTCTGAAAAGTAATCCAGTGCTTTGTGTTAGCTATACATATGATAGCTATGAGGTGGTTTGGTGTTTCTTCTTAAAGTCAGGACTTGAGTTTTTCTTTATAGCAAGAAGCCCCTATGGCATTACCTTAAAGAATTGTACATACCAAGTAAAGAAGACACCATTAGATGTCAAATGTAGCAGCAGAAATTATCTTTTTAATACTAACCTTTTCAAAAACTACATTCAAATGGAAAAACAAACAAACAAATAAACAAACCAAAACATGGACCATATTAGAAAGGTATCAAAAAAGTCTCTTCAACTTAGTGTTTTATTAAGTAAGCAACAAATAATCAGACAGCTACAACAATAGGTCTGGCTCAAGTGCAAATCTCTACTTAACTTTTGGCAGAGTATTTTTTTTCTAAAGATTATTACCTTTTATGGGAGCCCAAACAGCTTTTATCTCCACAGCTGCCAGGCTGCTGAGAGGCAGGGATATTTCACAGGAATAAGCCTGCAAACAATGTCATACCTGCAGCACCAAAGTCTAAGAATCTCACGGGGAAATCTGTCTGGCACCAGGTGATCTGCAATACAGATCTTCACATTCTGTGTGATTTCAATTTATTTTTCTGGTAAGTGCTTTAAGAAAGGAAAGAACGAAAAACAGAGATGGAAATGGGACATCACTGGCAAATGGGTAGGAGGGAATTGTTAATCATGAAGTAAGTGTTACAGATTAATCTATTAAATACATAAACAGTGAATAAATAATAAAAGTACTGTTATTTATTGTTGATGACCATGACAGTTTGAGGGAGGTAGAAATAGGGTGTTCTTACTGCCCTTTCTCATAGCACAGCGATATTTCTGTGCTATCATCTGTGATTCTGCTCAGAGTCAGTATTATTCATGGAGGAGCAGTGGAGGAGATCTTTTTAAAATTGTAGTATGTTTGCTTATTAGTCAAAGGCCAGGAAAAGATTTCCAGTGAAAAAGCTCCTTGTCACAGCTATTGTATCCAGCTCTCTGCAATATGAAGGTTCTTAAGATTTTTGCTTTTCCCAAAAAATTATACATTTTAGCAGTCAGAGGAGTGAATGCAAAACACTTTTCAAAACATTTTTCAAAATGTTTTTTACTGTTTCCTATTGACCTTTCTGCAAAAAGGACCTCTAAGCTAGCTGATCCAAACCTCAGCCTGAGGTCCTGAGGTCCTCAGCCCGATGTCCTCAGCCTGATCCAAACCTGGCCTCAGGTTTCACCAGGGAAGATTTAGACTAGATATTAAGAAGCATTTTTTTCCAGAACGGGTTGTTAGGCGTTGAAATGGACTGCCCAGGGAGGTGGTGGAGTTCCCATCCCTGGAGGTGTTCAAGAGTAGAGTCAACATAGAGCTTATGGATATGGTGTAGTTGAGAATTGTCAGTGTTATGTTAATGGTTGGACTAGGTGATCTTCAAGGTCTTTTCCAGTCTAGATGATTCTGTGAAAGGAAATACTTAGATGAATTATTTTAAAGTTTTTATGCTTGTGTTTTAGAAAGGTCCTCCAGTAATCCAACTTTTAATTTCCTTTTCATTTAGGATATACTAAAACCTGTAGTTTTAATAAGAAGGTAAAAGTGCCACATAAACGGCAGTAAGGAGAGTGTACAATATCAACTATCTGTTAAGGAAGCTTTGCAGCTATCACTGAACTGTTTGATGGGATTGCACAGATCACGTGGTATCCTTGTATTCAGACAAACTTAAACGATTTGACAATATAGCAGGTTGTTCAGCCACATTTCCACAGGTTTTAATTTTATATATATATATATATATATATATATATATGAATGTATTTCTGCTAATTAGAATAAAAATATCAAAAAGTCTAGATTATAAAGTGCCCTCTTTTTATTTGTTTCAAAAAAGCATGTTTTATTTCCATGTAAACCCATATTATTAAAATATACTGTTTAAAACATTCTGGCATGCAATCTTACAAATTGCAAACACTTCATAATTGTCACTTTCGGTGTGTCATTAAAAAAACATCCATTATGCTGATCATAAAAACTTCATTAGTAAATAACATAGTTTTCTCTACCACATCGTTTTGATACATGATCTACCTTTTTTATAAAAAGAATCAAAAACACTCAGAAGAATGATCTGAAGCTTTGTTTATTGACGAAAGGAGATAGCTAATCATATCAAAAGTATTACACAAGTGAAGAGTACTATCCTTTTCAAAGCTTAATGTTTGTCATCTCTAAGTTTAAACAAAGCAATATATGCTAAATAAATGAATTATGACTGTAATGTTTCTTCACTATTACAGACATTCCTTTAAAATTATACCTAGAATTTCAATTATCTGAAGTTTCAAGAAATGGTGATGTGATGCAGTAATATTTGTTGCTCTCCAATACTTTAAATTGAGATGGTTCCCCATGGTCTCTTATCTTTGGTATGTTACCAGATTTAAAGTGTCACGATTATTTTAGTCTCTTACTCTGTAGCTTATTATTAGAGTTCACTCTTATGCATTGTTCTTTCATTAAACCACTAAGATATAGATACATGATCTGTGGTGTCCATATGCCAATTTAACAAATCAATCCTTAAAGAAAGTTTTATTTAATTCACAGAGAATCAGAAATATATACATATTTCTTACATGTATATACATATTATATATATAGTACATATATACTTATATTACATATAGATATATGTAATTTAAGATATATGTATATATGTAACATATGAATATACATATACATGGAGTAAAAACTCTCTAGTCGCTACAGCACAGAAAAAAAAAATGGTCAGAACTGTTTAGAAGTACTAAACTATTTCATGTACCATATGACTTCTTGACTGCTTGCTAAAGGCAGCAAAGTCATATTGTTGTTATCCCAAATGTTACATTATTTGATAATTTCTCCTCCTGCCAGTGTACAGGTACCTATAGTATGGTTCTTCCTTCATTATTTGTCACTTTTGGACCATTCATGACCATATGACCTTTCATGAGGGAGAACTGAAAGGATTTCAATACTTGACTATTCTCTCACCCAGCTTTCACCTGCAAACAACATTCAGATCTGCTTTTCTCATTTGGAATATCTAGAAATAGATGCTGTGCATAATTAAATTGTAGAACTCATTGCAGCAGTATATTCTAAACATCCAAAATATAACACGTTAAAAAAACCCACAAAAAAACCAAAAAAAACACCCCAACCCAAAACATGTTAGACAAATTCATTATGAATTTGTCTTTCAGTCACTGTTAAACATAGTCATAAAGGTGCATCCTGTGGTCTCTGGGTCAGGAGCTCCATGATGAGAACTGGTAAGACATACATATAAAAAGAATATCCTGTACTTCGTTCTCATGCAGTTTTTCTTAAGCTGCTGCCCATTGTAAGGGACAGAATACCTTATGGGGTCCGATTCAAAATCCGACAAAGAATTGCAAAAATACCAGAGGTTACATTAGAGAAGCTAGATCAATGGCTAGAGAACAGCTGTCTGTCATGCTGAGAACAACTGTTTTGGATACCGTGCTATGCTATGCAGTTATGGTTTTCCACTCAGCTCACTCTCTTCACACTACAAGAAATACCTAATGAAGGCTTTGATATTTTTCCTTTCCACTAGCTCAGGGATTCCAGAAATCCTTCTTTATAACTGCTTTAACATGCATTATTGCTTTTCAATTTCTCCCATATTCTCAATGATGGTTTTATTAGTGAATGAATAAATACAGCCATGAATGACACCTACCACACAGGCTAGATGTAGTGTAAGTTGTGTCTTTATATGGATGAGGATGCAGCCTGACTGTATCCAGACTTGGATAGCTAAATGCAGCGGATACATGGCTACACCCACGTGGACTTTCAGTCAGCTCGATATTGTGGACCCAGGTCAGGTCCCTTGCACATACCTGATGTGGCGAATGTTCCTGAAAAGTGCACCAGAAGCACACTCAAAAGAATTAGCAATAGCGTCCTGGTGGACAGGCACCCACACTCTAACAGTGGATGGAGTGGTTGCCAAGCTCCGGCAATATGAGGGAAATCTCCCTTCATTTCAACATTCTCGGGTCTCAGCTGTGGACAAACTGCCTCAGAGGGTTTAGAAAATGGAAGAGGACGTGTCCTAAGTTTCACCTGCATGGGCTGATGTCTCAGCCATTAGAAATAAACGTTTCCCCACCCAAGAGAAAGGCAGCAGAAGGTACACACCACGAGGCACCCTGTGGTTTTTCCTCTGTGACCATGGAGAAAACAGGAGGTGGGATGGACAGCCCACTGCTGCCCTAGCTGCACGAGTAGAGCAGCTGAAAGGGAAGACCATCACAAAAGGGGAGTCCTCCAAGAGAAGCGCAGATCTAGTGTCCAGTCAGAAATCCCCCAGACAGAATAGAATGGCCAACGTTGTGTCTGACCCTCTTGAGGGGACCAGTAAATCGTTCTTGCAAGAAATGAGTAATGATGAGCAGGATTAGAGGGGCCCCGACTCCAGCCAGGAAGAGGAAAGGGATAATCAGATTTACTGAACAGTGTGGATCCGATGGCCTGGCACATCAGACCCACAAGAGTATAAGGCTTTGGTGGACACTGGTGCACAGTGTACCCTGAAACCATTGATCTACAGTGGGGTTGAATCCATTTGCATCTCCGGAGTGACAGTGGGATCCCAACAGCTGACCTATTGGAAGCTGAAGTGAGCCTGACTGGGAAGGACTGGCATAAGCACCCCATTGTGACAGGCCCAGATGCCCCGTGCATCCTGGGCATAGACTATCTCAGGAGAGGCTACTTCAAAGACCCAAAAGGGTACCGGTGGGCTTTTGGTGTATCTGCCCTGGCGGTGGTTGAACAGTTGTTCACCTTACCCGGCCTCTCAGAGTATCCC